GTTTTAAATCCCAGATTAATTTTGATTCTGACCTGTCTTTGAATTTGCATTTAGAGCTTTGGAATTGTAACTTGCGTAATTTTCGAGCAAAGAAAATTGCATATCCTTCTATGTCACCAAGAAAATACTATAGAAGGCCCACGTGTTTTTTGAAATGAAAGTGGAGTACATATTATGCGTCATAAGAAGCCTTAATAAATGAAGAGTTACCATACAATTTCAGTGGACATTCCACGCCCTTAAACACCTAATTACAAGCTCTTCTTTGGGCAAAAACCATAAATGAGAAATTATTTGCTATAAAATGAATTTAAATGGGTATATGCTTGACTATGTTTTCCATAAAATATATTTCAATTTTAAGGGCAACAAAATTCACTAGAGACTAATTACCTAGCGAGTAGTCATCCTTTGCCGAGTGCGGTCTTTGCAGACGCCTGAATGGAAGTGCATTCGTGGGCAGACATCTCAACACGAGTGACATATATTGATATTGTGCTGTGTGAAGCAAAACTTAAGTAATCCTTCTTAATCAAAAACGCATTTCAGAATTTTGGGAAACGTTTCAGGAGATTGGATACTGACTGTATGTTTACGAAGCCTGCTTCCAAAAAAGTTTATGCCAATCAGCAAAGCTGATGTGATGTAAATATATGAAAAGCATGCCTTGACGTGCTTCTATGTAGCCCGTCCTGCTCCCATGTACCATGAAGACTACTTATTCAGCGAACCTGAGAACCCACCAGCCATCTTACTTTGTCCTCCTTTACAGCACGATCGTCCTGGCGGCGAAACTGTCCAGCCAAGGGAAGAAGGAAGTAAAAGACGCCCGAGAACTATTTTGACGATACGTTAGTTATTCTTTCCTTTGTGATGGACTTTGCCAAGATTACAAGCCTGGAGATATCTTCTAAACATATGCAAAAGTGGCCTTTTTGAGCCGTTACTCATTTTCTCGTTCTCATTTGTACTTGAAAATCGCACAGCTGGGGAACGAATGCGTAATTGGCAGTTTGACAACCATGGCTGTAGTCCATAGTTAAAATGTCCTCCTGACTGAATACATGTTGTCGGTGCTCCCGCATTTGCGCACAAAGGCGCCTATTACTAGCATGATTCACGGTCATTTGTAGGTTTCAACCGTCTCGTGAAGATAAATCGCCTATCACAAATATTGCAGTTTGTTAAGTGCAACTTTTTCTAGGAGCATGGGCCGGCATCAATTAAGGTGCCACGCCTGGTACAAAGCACATGCCCGAAGGTCGTAGGATACCCCATGACTGTCTGCATGTCAAACTAATTTGGTCGGTCAGCTAAGAGCCCTGGCCATTTTCAAGATCATTGCTTTTGAATATGGCTATGTTATTGTCCTACACATAAGAAACTGTGGGCTGCACGTATGCTTGGGTTGTCTTGTTCAACCTCTTACTATGCAAACTAAAATATTCAGTATTTCCTCAACATAAATATGTTTTTTAAGCGTTAAAAGATACCATACTAGCAGCATAGGTGCTAGTTTAAAGTCCAGACACGCATGATTTGCCGATATTTTGCCGCTGCGTAGCACAGCTATAAGGGGTTCGGCTCTTTTGCGAATCTCACAGCCTCCTTCGTACGCTTTCTGACAACTTGTTTTTAATTTTCTCGTTCTCAGCTGTACTCGAAAGACAATCTCCCCCCAAGTGTCAATTTAGAAGAAGAGTAATTTGCAACCAAATGAGTAAGTGTACGGATATATATGTTCAGGTTCTCTGTAAGCTGCTCCCAATTTGAAAGGGTATCAAAATGAATAAGAAAATTCATACTACTTAGATAGTCCCTATTCCCCAAAAGTCTTTGCGAGCGTTCCAAAGGCAACTTGTCTAAAGGCCTGCATGCTGACGTGACCGACATATTTGCAGATTGTGGTACACATTACTTCCTATAACAACCCTTCTTAAGTAATTTATTCGAGCCGAAATTTCTTTATGGAATTTTGGTCTACGTTTCGTGAGATATAACATTCACTGTATCTCTCAATATGCGCAGAAGGCTTTCGCTTCCAAAACTGCAAATCAAGCCAGGAAAAAACCTCATGGAATTTGTTCCGTGTTTTAAGTTAAGGATTTCAAATACTGTACCTAATTTCGTTTTGACGCCTAACAATACTTATCTCGAATTTTGTGCCTTTAATCACCATTAAAGTCATCAGCGCTTCAGGAATTAACTTACTTCAGTGGTTTATCTTTCGGCTTTTCTCCTGAAGAAAATCTGGTTTTCCATTGGGCAGATAACTCAGACAATAATCATGCTTTTGTCGTCTGTAAGAAGAACGCCAGATTAAACTGGAGAGATAGATAGAAGCATGTGCGTACGCCGCTGTACATATTTAGACATGCTGTTCTGTGCCAAATCCCATCTTGAGTGTAACAGCTTGATGGATAATCCCCTGGATCGGCCGAGATTTCGTCCTAGACGTAGCGCGAATGACGAAGTCGCCGAGTTTTAGAGCGTTATTATTCCAGAGATATTTCATATGGAGGTCTAGTTCCCACGTACAGTAGGTGGACTAATTAATGAAATGTCACCCGAGTTCCGAAATGCATTTTCGCTTCGAAAAGATTATTTAAATGGCGCTGTAAACCTAGTCAGCCTGCAGAAAAGTTCTATAATATTTCAGTTACCACAATATGCTGGTTTTCGAATGAACTCCCTTCCGGCTGCATGCAAAAACTGTACTCTGTAAAAAACGACTACATAAGTAGCATGCATTTTTCTCTTTGATTTTCGATGCCTCTAAAAGTCCAATTACAGTTCATGATGCATGCCAAAACCACGTTTTGTAAAAAATGACCACTTAACTAGCATGCATTTTTCTTATTGATTTTTGATGGCCTTTAAAGTCCAATTATATTTCTTGGAAGACATGCATAAAATGTTCACTCTTTTGCTCGTTCGGTAGATAATTACGTCTTCCAACCTTATACTCGAAGAAAGGGTATAATTCGATTTGCAAAAAAATTTCCAACAGCCGAATAATTTTGAGCCCGCTCTACCGTTACACTTAGATTCAGGATTTCCAAACTACAAGCCGTATATTTTCCGCGTACGGAAAACCACAAATTTCTCTACGGAAATAAAAGGGGACTGTATATGGTTCATAAAATTTAGCAGTGGATTTGATCCATATTGTTAACTCTACAAGCCATGACATGATTTATGAACGGCCATTTTACGGTAGTTAAAAGTCTCACGATTAGACACTTTTTTAAAACCGGATTATGTCCCTCCTTTGCGTATAAAATTGAAAAAAGATGTACGTTTCTACCAAATGAGCAAAAGAATGAATATTTTTATGCATGTTTTCCATTAAATATAATTGGACCTTTAGGGCCATCGAAAATCAATGAGAAAAATTCGTGCTAGTTAAGTGGTCATTTTTTACACAGTATAGTTTCTGCATGCAACCGGAAGGAAGTTCATTCGAAAACCAGCATCTTGTGATAACTAAACTATTATAGAATTATGTTGCAGGCTGATTAGGTTTACAAAGGCAGTAAATTAATCTTTTCGAAACGAAAACGCATCTCGGAATTTCGGTTGGCATTTCATGAGTTATCTTACCTACTATAATATGCTTCAGACGATGTCAGAAGAAAATGGCCACGGAACGAGGTCCAACTCATTCTTGCCTACCTTTCAGACGTCAAATTTGCACTGAGCCAGCCACCACTTGCTAGAAACTATTCTGAAAAAACTAAAATTAAAATGACGTATCTTGACTTCAACTATTCCGACTCTCTTAAACACAAGACAACCAAAGGTAAGTCTGACAAAGGACAGCTTTCCAAATGGCGGTAGGGGAAAGTGCATGTCTGAAACATGAAACTTCTGCTTTATAATAATAGAAAAGGACTTCAGCAGCTCCCGTTTAATGCAAGAGTCTAGAATGTTCATTGCTCCACTGCCTCACTCTGTCAGAAACACAGTTGAGAACGTTTGGATTAGTTGAAACATTTTATCAAAACATAGCACTATGAGGTGCAAGAAGTATCACCAGGAAACGCAAATTCAACGTTTGAAAGAGGAAAATTCGTAGGATTTATGCCAATTTATCAGTTAGACTAAATTAATAAAGTCCGTTTTTCAGGTTTTGCTGATACCTACTACGCTAATTTGCCAAACCTTATGGAGGTAAAATTGAGCGTTGGATGAAAATAAGGCGACTTAATGACTCTGTCTATGATTTCGCCATATTGAGTTGTTCTATGTGTCTTGCTTATAACGTAAGGTTCTCTGTTTCTGTATCAAAAACGAAAAGTCCAAATTCTTGAATGCTATAGACGCCGGAGTCGTTATGTCCCAGGATAAAGAAGAAACTCTCGAAACAGCCATTAATTTGAACTGATGCTTACCCTCTTATGAGACCGCGAGAAATTGACCAATTAAATATGCTTTATTTTTCATATCAGAACTCTGTCGGCCCGTTAATGAGAATAATTCACATTCCTAACAAAATGCCCACTTGCTTACGGTGCATCGCTCGTTTGCTGTTGTCAAATTGTAATTTTATGTACTGTTTCGGGATTTTTGCGTGGGGAGGCAAAGTATCTGTCCTCATTTTTTTGTCCCTTCGCTTAAAACACATCTGCGTTCTTATTTGTAGAAATTATCTCAGTTCAGATTTTTTTCGAAATGAAGACCTCAAAACTGTCACGTATTGTCTATACTAAGGTATGGGCCAGAATTCACCTAGCTGCTGAATCCTCCATGTTGCGTCAATTTTGTTTAACGGGCACGTGGAAATGTAGACGTGTGGGCCTAAAATACTTCAAAGTAAAGACAATGTAGGTCAGACTCTCAAAAGGAAAATTTCACACTGCAGTTATGCGAGGGCCTTTTACAAAGCGGAATCCCCACTTATCGGTACAGAGGTGAGCGTTTATACGAAAATACTCTATTCTAGCATTCATTTGATGTGAAATCAACTGCAATTGGGTTGGAGCGGTCACCTCATGCGTATGGATAACAAGCGGCTACCCACGGGTTCCCGCCACCAGGGACGCCAAATCCGTCGATACAGGGGCACTCTGAAGACCTTCCTGAAGCGTCTGCAGACCAACCCGGCCAACCAAGAAAACCTCGTTCGAGACCCACCGACCTGGAAGAGGACAGTGAAGACAGGCGGAGCGATCTACGAGGTAAATCGCATCGCCGCCGCGAAAGCAAAACGAGAAGCATGCAAATCTCAACTGCGCCCGCCTTGCAACGTCAACGTCCAACCGCCCTCAACGCGTGCACGGTGCCAGCGGACATTCCGGACGCCAATTAGACTTGCTGGACACCTTCGTACCAACTGCAGCACCCGGACTGCACTAACCGTCGTCTCTCCGTCCACCTTTCCCTCTTCTCCGACGCCGCCAACTAACGTTGACCGTCCTCCCGAATCACCCCAACCATCCTCCCCCTCCATTACTGCCTCAACGTCTGCCGCTGTGGCGTTTGCTATGCTCATCAACACTGCACACACAATCCTGAAACACCAACAAACGCCAACACCGCCATCGTTAACACCATTTAAGAGGACCGGATCTGCACCTGTCCAAATTACGATCCATCTATTCACCTCACACATCGGTCTGGTCAGTCACTTGCGAATCCATCGCACAGAACCTGAAACAGCAACCCGTACCCTCCGCACCCGCTTCCACTGTCCACACTGCCCACGCACACTCATGCATCTCATAGGCCTATTCGGCCACATGCTTATCCATGAGAACGGAATTAACCGCAGCCCGGACACACCTAGCACATCCAGCCCACCTACTATGCCTAGCCCTACCTACAGTCCGCCGCCCAGCACGCCTACCGCCACCATTTCCATCACACTGAGCACATCTGGCACACTCACCATGGTCAGCCCAACCCACACCCTGTCGCCCAGCGCTCACCATCGTCAGCTCCACCATCACTGTCACCAAAACTAATAATGACACCGCCGAATTCTTATGTCCGCACTGTCCGCGTACATTCACCCCACGCATCGGCCTGGTCGGTCACTTACGAATTCATCGCATAGAGACTGGCCAACCTGTGTCTGGAGCATCAACCTACACTCACCGCATCCGCCTCCACTGTCCACATTACACTCACACACCTATTCACCGCATGGGTTTAGTAGGCCACATGCACGTCCACGAAAACCCGCGCTGGACAGCCGTCTTCTGCACCACACCATCACATCCTCCCTCAACAGCATCTGACCGCATGCCAACACCACCTACCACATTTACCCAACTGCCATCTCCCACGCAAGTGGAAATGGTGCGTCTCGGCTCCCTCTCCACGTGGCTTCCCTGCTGCATGTGTGATCGAAGTCTGAGACGTAGACGGGGCTTCGAGCGCTGTGTCTCGGAAGGTAGCCGACTGACGTCCCAACTCATTCCATGCAGTCTGCCCAGTTGGGTGTGTTATTAGGAGTGGCGGATTGGTAGGCTGAGAGCTAGACTGTCACGGTCCCTTCTCAAGCCATCTGCGACACTCCCATGTATGTGAGGAGAGTGTGTGTACTTTATGAGTAGGGCCTCTCAGTCGACGACTTTTGGTTAACCAACCTTGAAGGGCGACGGCCCAGGTTAAATGCAGGACCGCGTGTCGCCCTCTTAGGTCAAAAGACCTGTAAGCGTGTGCTATGTCGGCATCAACAAAGCATGGTCCTCGCAGCCTGGTATGCGCTGGCAGTTCCCTGACACCTGCCGGTCGATGCGCTTGCGCTTTTGCTGGGTATACAGATGGCGGGCATGACTGCTCAGTCATCATCTTCCTTCTGATCCCAGTTAGGGTGTTGTTGTTACTGGTCAAAAACCTGGTTATTTGCTGTGTGGACTAGGGGTGTGGAGTGGAATGCCAGGGTGCGGCCTCGACCGTGCCATTTACCTGTGCACCCCATCTCCGGCCTTCTTGACTCTACCCTGACACCGGGTCCAGGTTGGGCGTGGGGAAGAGAGAGTGCGGTAGATGCTACGCAAGTATACTATAATTATAAACTGATTCGTGCGCAAGTCACCCTGCTTGCTGCACCTTGCTCTGTAGCATACAGTGGACATCGTTGAAACCGACGGTCGAACTGTCGTATCTCGAGTTCGCAGGTTTTGTCCAAAAAGCCAATATCAACTCTACTATAGCAGAACCAAGGATGAATGAAACAGAACTGCACATTGCCTTCCGTGGCCGACGCCGACCCCAACGTCGCCCCAACCTCCTGATGCCAGGGTGGGTGCACAAGGTACACGACGTACTCACAGCCTATGCCTCCCCTCTTCCTCGCCCCCTGAACCCAATGACCACGACACGCCGACCACGCCATAGCACGCCTCGTCATGCGAGTGGCGTGGGAACGATCGATGTTAATTGTCCCCGAATCATTTATAAGTCATGTAACTCGCATAACTTAAACTTCATTGTAACCGTTTTGGCCTGATGAAGAGTTACTGAAAACACGTGTTCGCCAATTTGACTTTTCAATTGTAACATGGGAATATTCGCTGAATTTTCAGTATTTCTTTACTAGCAGTAAACAGCACATATCAAAATCAACCCAAGGACCTCATTTGCAATTTCAGTTACATTAATCTGAGTTGGATGAACGCTGTGCCGGTGGGCAAGCTGCCGATGGCACTATGGGCTGGATGTCAACCGTGCTTACGATTTCGGATAGTCTACAGTCATGATCAACGACAAGGCTTCCGTGCTTTCAAAAACGAGGTAAGATCTGCCTCTATTCGCTTTGTCTGCTAATGCAGAACGGGGAAGCGTAAATGCAATGGAGAGCCGACCAAGCTCCCTAAAACGTCAGCAATACGATTCTTGTGATCCGTTGAGCACTTTCTGTATCTCAGATTATCGATCTTGTTCGTTTACGTTTGCTAACATAATTAGTCTCTTTCTGACTTTCTAACATGGTAGACACCTGCCAAATTGCAGTCTTTACGTGAGACATGAAAACACCTTTGCAGTAGATAGTGAATGCAATGTGCACATAGTTGGGAGGTTGTGCGATCTTGTCTGATTACAACACGAAAAAAGAATTGTTTTTTTATCTCGGAACTCAAACGTAGTTTTTTTCCGATAATTTAGGCATGGATTACAGAATAATCTCTTGAGGGCAGAATACAGGTCGAAGCGACCGTTCCCTAGTTCGATGTCTTTGCAGACGATAATACTAGAAAAAAGACACCTCCCATAATCCCAGCTGGAATTTTAAGAGTCGCCAATACGCGGACGTTACCTACATTTTCTCGTTATAGAAAACACCCTTCAGAAACCGAAAGCGGTGAAATTGGGGTTTTGGATATAAGTATATTTCCAGGTTTTCCACCATATTTGACTCGTCTAATATGTTACAGACGGCCGTAAAATTAAGAATAATACGACATTTGCCAGCATTCTGTAACCAACCTCTGAAAAAGTCTAGCTTAGTGCTCGCTATGCTGTACTTAGACACTTTTCTTGGAAGTCGTAGGAGACCAAAATAATGAGTTGTGCAGGTGGCATACAAAAGCACTGGAATCAGACACGTTCAGAGAAGAAGTTGGAGGTGTACTAGGGCTTATGTACTGGAAGTAAACACCAGGGACAATTAGAAACCCGATCTTAGTCCAGTTCTTTGTCCTCGACAGGAATCGGCGAAGAATGGTTAACTGCAGGCGTACATGCAGCTGAGAGAAAGTAAATCAGCGGACACACCGATGTGAGGAAGCCCTGATTTGATCTGTTGTCACGGGGCAACCGAATGACGCTGTCTGAAGGTAGGCGTCGCGAACATGTGGCCACACATCTGCCCACTGCATACGAATTCTGAAACTGGGTGCACTATTGCCTACTGCATTTAGTGGATCCAGACTAACCAGATCAAACTGAATATTAAAAAGACAATTACTGACAAAAATTGGAACCAATGGATCAAAGTAACAATCATCGCACGTGACCAAGTTTGGTTTTCATGTAGAACCTTGTAGTTAGCAACAATAAAGATTTTAATAAGCGGGATTTGCATTTTGACGTCTTGCTAAATGCGTGTGCCCATGGAAAAATGCGGTTATGAATTGTCACGAAGTGAGATTGGTCCTTGTCTACGGTTGTAACAAAAGTAATGTGCGTCTTCGGCTTAAATCAAGTCTAGCTTTTGACCGGTTCGCGTTACTAAGACTGTCCCCCGCTGGAGATGAAGTCGAAGGCTGCCTCAAGTTCAGCTAACTGCTTGGCTAAGCACCGTCTGTTTCACTAGTGTAATTATAAGCAAGCTCATTATTTTATATTTAGAAGTATTTTAGGAGACTAACTGTTCGTACCGAAGAATGTAGCAGGACCAAATCATATCCAGTATGTAAAATCTATTCAATTTGATGTAATTGTCCGACTGAACAACGACGCCCAATGCTTGCCTCATATCATGTTGCATGAGAGTGAGTGACTGCCATTTGTCTATCGGTCCTTTGAGAACTTGCCTAATCGCAAGGTGGCGGCTATCGCCTGAATCTCAGACTCACACCTGTGTCCTAAATGCACGATGTGGTTGAGCTCACCGCGGAACTCGACCATCGGACACCGCTTCACGATACAATCCCAAAAGCTATGTATCTGATAGAGTTCATTTTTTACGTATTTCCTCGTAACCAAGAGTTCAGTCTTCTGGCAAATATTTATTAAAATTCCGCCGTTATTATTGACGACGGAGAGGTCAAAGATGGTTTTGATGAACGTATGAGGTGGGGTACATCAGCATATTTGTACCGGTTTCCCAGGTCGAGGACATAGACAAACGGGAAAAGTTTAGCCTCTGCCATACTAAATTCTGTTTTTTTGTGCGTGAGTAATAAAAATATATAATGCATCCAAAACAAACATATAATCGTTAACCAGTTTTTGATTCCCCCATGATACTTTTTACAATTTTTATAAATTTCCAGATTTTAAGGCTTTTTTCATATAAGTGTGTATTAGAGAAATAATCTGTTTGGAACAACCAACTTAAGACACTGCAAACTGGATGGTAATGACTTTCATTTGGAGGATTCTCTGAGACTCGACAGGTCCAACCATCTCCAGAAAGTACAGTATTTCCTGAAAAACGAGTTCTGTCAACGTTTGGAGAAGGGTATGCTCAGGTTTCACTAGCTATTCGTATGCCAAATTCTTAGTCGTTACTCAAGCACTCTACATCCCTTCCTGCGAGGACTCTTATTCCTGTGACATTCATCCAAAGGGACTGTAAAAGCCCTTGCATCCTGAGTAATTAAATCAGAACCAGTGCAAAATTGAGAAGCAAACTATTGTAAAAAATCTTCCTAAATATCAAACAGTAGACTTTCCACTGGAATACAACAGAAGTTACTTTGTCACAGACTGAATTGATCACGGCGCACACTAAAGTGGACACCAGATGGAATGTTACATACAAATTTGTAAATGAGCGGCAATGTGAGCTTTATGATCGTTTTTCAGGTACAGAGGAGCATCACAGAGAAGTCATACTGAGCAACTTACAATATACTAACGTGTACAGAGGTGTCTCCATTGTAGAATGAGCAAGCGATGATTTGAATTCACCTTGAAGCTCTCGCTTCTACAGTCCGTTGAGATGACTAACCGAACAGTGTCGCCGACAGAGACAGCGACTCTACAGTGACCCTTTTTGCAATGATAAAATCCATCTGCCAGCTATAGTGCAGTCCCCGGTGGTAGCGCTCTTAAGGTCTCGGACTTACTCACCTGATAGTCGATAAAAGTCCCATCGCTGCCTACATTATTACTGTCTTAGGGACAAAAATTGACAAAAATATGCGAATCAAATTTTTAAAAGTGGTTTTACTTTTCTAAAAGACGAAAAGACTAATCGCACAGATTACACGGCACAAAATGATGTTTCAGTTTGCTGAAGGTTAAAATCTGCTTGCTTGGATCGATGCCCTCATTTTGAACAACATAC